CTATATTGATATAAATCTAATAAGGATGAAATATATAATCTATGAATAAATGTGTACGTGAAGGAAGTTGAGGTTCCACCCTAAAACAAATTGACAATGGGGGGAGTAGCCCAACTCCTTATAAACCCAGGCTTGGTCCCTTAAATTTTCAATGTAAGACTCTCAACAGCTATGTGACACGATGAACTAATCGTGATCATGATCGTAATGATTAATTTGCAGTTTGTGTTATATATAATCTATGTTTTGATTTCTTAATGCACATCCCTATATAGTTTTGCAACAGGCATAGTCATCATGTTTATCTGGAAATGGAAAATCTTATATGAATTGCATGCATATATCAATCAAATACAAGTTTAATTATATCTCTTTTGATAATCAACTACAATGTACATAGAAAAAATGAAAACTCTTGTACGTACAGTACAGTGAGAAAAATATGAGAATTTTCTTTCTTAAAAAATCAGTGCTTTTTATTAGTTGTTAGAAATTAGAAGTTTGGATCATAATGTTGTATCAAACTCGTGTACATGACACACTAAGAAATTCTATATTGCCAGATTTTCTCATCTCTCAAGTTTTTTGCCTCCCAAGACCTATTGAAACTATACTATTCACATATACAATTGGCGGATCCAGTTTCGACATACAAACTATACTATTCTATATTGCCAGCTTTTTCCTCTTTTTATGCTATATAAAAGCTTTCTTAGTTATCCTATCTATGCTAGTCTTGTTATATTATGGATGTTAAGTACATGGAGCATAGAGAGAGGGGACATAGATTTATGCCATCCTTTAGATCTGCGGTCCCCCAACCTCAACATCAACCCTGTCAACAACACTACATGTACATGTTATGTTGTTTCTGTTTTCTTGCTTTCTTTTGTGTAACATTCCATGTGAGTCTAAATTAGTCTAAATTGGACACATTGATGCTGATTGTGAGTTTAGGTTACACACACACATATATATATATATATATATATATATCCTTGGGATGGATCACCCATCTCCATCGATAGAGATCTTCCTTAATATCTCCCTCCCTCCCTTTCTTAATTAGCATAAATTGTTCTTAAAATCAAACATGAAATTCTTGGAGACCATAGTTGCGATGGTGTTAGGTATTGCTCTTTCCTTCAACATTGAGGGAAACATGAGCTGCAATGCTGCTGGACAGTATGACTACTTTAAGTTTGTTCAGGAGTCTCCTTTTGCATTTTGCAAATATGGTAATGGAATTAATAGATGCAACATCCTACCTCTGCCACGGATATTTACCATTCATGGCTTGTGGCCAAGCAACTTCACAAATCGTCATGAACCTTGCGTTGGTGCACAATTTAGTAGAGATGTGGTATATCTCTATCATACATACATACACATATTGAGAATAATGCATTTAGCTTATGTTATGTTTCTCGTGTTTTGTTTTGTTTACTTTTGGTTTTAGTTTTTTGGTTTTTTTTTTGGCATGCATGCACGAAATGATATTTAATTTTTCTTTGCCATTGTTAGATGAATGAAGCCTCCAATGATGACTTGCGAGCTGATCTGGAGTTGTCATGGCGAAGCTTCATCAGTGGGCAGTCAAATATGGACTTCTGGGAATATGAATACAACACACACGGCAAGTGCTCCGACCACAAGTTTTCGCAGACGCAATACTTCGACCGTGCCAGGAGTTTGTGGAAGCAATACAAAGCTCATACTCTATTTTCTAATCGCTCGCTTGAACCAGGCAAGTCATATCGTTTTACTGACCTTGAACAAGCCATCCGATCATTTATAAACTCGAGGAAACCTCTTCTCCGGTGCAAGAAAATTACAGAACAGAACGCAACAAATCAATATTTGCTGGAAGTCGTAATTTGCTTTGATGACAGAGCAATCAATCCAGTGAATTGTCCCGGGAGGAAAGAATGTGATCCACTATCACGTGTATGGTATATGCTATAGCCTATAGGTAGAAGGGTGAATTAAGCTATATTGATATAAATCTAATAAGGATGAAATATATAATCTATGAATAAATGTGTATGTAGCTATGTGACGCGATGAGCTAATCGTGATCATGATCGTAATGCTTAATTTGCAGTTTGTGTTATATATAATCTATGTTCTGATTTCTTAATGCACATCCCTACCCTATATAGTTTTGCAACAGGCATAGTCATCATGTTTATCAATCATATAGTTTTGCAACAGGCATATAGTCATCATGTTTATATGGAAATGGAAAATCTTATATGAACTGCATGCATATATCAATCAACTAATTATGTCTCTTTTGATCATCAACTACAGTGTACATAGAAAAAATGAAAACTCTTGTACGTACAGTGAGAAAAAGATGAGAATTTTCTTTCGTAAAAAATCAGTGCTTTTTATTAGTTGTTTGAAATTAGAAGCTTGGATCATAATGTTGTATCAAACTCGTGTACATGACACACTAAGAAATTCTATATTGCCAGATTTTCTCATCTCTCAAGTTTGTTGCCTCCCAAGACCTATCGAAACTATACTATTCACATATACAACAATTGGCGGATCCAGTGTCGGCATACAAATTTGAACACTAGGAAGAGACATTCGGTTTTCGTTGCGGAGGTTATAGCAAATTGTGCATCCATCTTTGTCAACCACAAGAAGCTCATCGCTTTTCCAGAGTGGCAATGCCCATCCGCCATCCCTGAGGTCCATTATGGGGATCGATGCGAGCTCAAAACCTGCGTGTTTTGTCCAAACACAAGCACCAAAATCATCGTCCATCAGCCACATTCCAAAGTACGGACTAACATCATTACTGCTATCCCAAACACAAAGAGCAATGGAAGATTCATTCCACACTCTAAGCTTCATGAAAAGCCCAAAAAAAGTTGTATCATGGACTGGCACCTCATCTGGCAACGCTACCTCATCAAACACCTCATCACTCATGTCAAACGAAACCATCACTTTCCTAATGATATCGTCATATCGAGTTTCCTCACTATATATATCCAAGAATTCCTTTTGTTGCTCAGTTCCCAACCAATAACACATCCCCTTAAAGTATATCTCGAAATTTTCAGGCCAAAGGAAAGTAGTTTCTGTTTCCAAAGAGTAAGTCTTGATCTCTCTCCAAGAAGAAGATTCTTCACTACTTCCCAGCGTGTACACTTGTACTCTCAGAGGATAAATAACCACAGAATATAATGTATGAGCATGCAGTTGCAAACCATCAAATATAATGCTAACAACTTTATAAGCTTTAGATATAGGATCATAGCCAAATCCCATGGCCCATCCGAGCCGCTCTAATGATAGATACAGGCCATACTGCTGATATACGGACTCCCAATCCGTAAAGTATTTCTCCGAGGGAAGAAGCTTGAATTCCCGAATTGCCGGATTCCACAAAAACACCTTACTATAATTATCTACGTGTACACAAATGATTCCATGACAATGGCCTACAATCCTAAGTTCTTCACCAGCACTCATTACACTCATAGAAACTGGAACATTGATGTCCTCCACCCTAGACAATAGAAATGTATGCGCACCATCATCTACGTCCTCGCAAAAAGTAAGCATTGAGAACACTGATTCGGTCTCGCTAGCGTTCGGGTCCTTGTTAGGGACTAATCGCTTCAAAAAGATTGATTGATTGTTGTGCAAGCAATTGGAGAGTTGATTGTCTACGAACCTG